GGAAAGGACAAAGGCATTTTGGGGAAGGCATGGGTCTGCATGCTCTGATCACCTACCTGGCAATTGATGCCTGTCTGGACTTACTGAACCAGGCAGTACTAATTACATGTAATCTCAAGTTACTGCTTATCGCTTAGGGAGGCAGGTAGGCCTGTCCATTGTATCTCTATCTTGAGGCCTGGCCTTCTTCAGATGCACCTCCAGCCTCAATTCTGATGTTTTTATTTTTCACTGACTTCTTTTAGAGTCTAGTCCCTCTTTGACTGTATATTAATTTTTGCCTTCTTTGTTACTTATAACCATACAGTACATCTAAAATATTTTCAGAATTGTTTCCGCCAACCTATTGCATCATTACAAAACTGACCCATAAAAAAGAATTGAGAATTTATGAGTCTGCTTCCCAAACCTTCCCTTTTCTGGTCTCCACTCAGGGTACGGATATAATACTGTGTTCATGAGTTTCCTCTGATCTCTCTGAAGCCTGCTTATTTGTTTCTTTCACAGTTGGATTCAGTTGTTTCACTTCACTTCTGATTCCTGGGTTGTTATATTAAACTACTGAAAACAGAGTTTTATAATGCACTAGTTGCTGTCCTAAAAGTGTAATATACAGTAGCAGTTTTTGTTTTCCTTTGTTTCAAGAATGCTTTTAATTGCTTGTTGAGCCATTTTAATCAAAATGCTTGTCAGATAATTCTAACAGTAGAGCTACTGCAGTATTTGCATTTCTTTTCTTATTCAAGGTGTTGTTTCCTTCCTGGTTCTTAGTATGGCAAGTGTTTTTTTGTTTAAATTGGATTATGGACATTTTGAATGTACTAGAATGAGGTTCTACATCCTGTATATATATTGTACTTTAGGTAGAAGTCACGCTGTTCATGTTGTTTGTGTTTAGTCTGCTTTTGTGGGCCTGATAACATTTTCTGACCTAGTTCTAACATTGGATCATTCATGTATACATGACAATTTTGTAGCATTTTGACTGATCAAATATTTATTTACATTATTGTTTTCTTCCTCATCTGAATCAAGGTCTTCATTCTGTACTTGTCTATCATATCCTTGTCTGTCATGTCTATCATATCTTCTTCTTTTTTTTTTTTTTTTTGCGGTACCGGGGATCGAACTTACAACCTTGCGCTTGCCAGGCAGGCGCTTATGCCACTGAGGTATATCCCCAGACCATGTCTGTCATATCTTGTTAACTTCTTTGGCTTACACAATCCAAGTCATCTTCAGCAGCTAAGTCACCTGATGACTCACTTTCAACCTCCTCTCAAAGTTGTGAAAGTGGGCTTTCGTGCGACATTGTACTGAATTGGGCTCATTCTACCAGAAAAATCAAAAGAAAACATTTAATTAAAAAAATTATGAATACATAAAAATGTAACATGGCACATAACATGTGTAAAACCCACCCATTTACACTTTGACACACGTGTACACACACATCTTGCCTTCATTGTACCAAGTGGGTGAACACAAAGATTGCTTCCTGTCTTCCCCCAGGGCAGCTACTGAGATTCATAGCAGGCTACTGTTACACTACAGTGTTGTTCCATTTCTGTCCAGGGGTGACAGGTCCTGAGAACGAGGTACCCGCGGATGAAAAGAAAAGTAAGAGAAACAAGAAAAACAAGAGAGAGAAAATTTTGGGATCAGGAGGCCTACAGCCTCTTGGACTGCAGCCTGGATTACCAATCTCAGTCACCTTTTATTGAGCGAGAACCAAGGGTGTAGCTAGTACAAATGGGCGGACACCAAATATTTTAGCAAGGATAACACAGCTCAATTATTATAAGTATGAGATTTGACTTAGTAAGCTATCATATTATCATTCCTTCAGGCATGTCTCAGTGAAGCATTTAGTGTTGACCTTGTGGCTTTCCACAAGGACACAGGTTTTGCAAATCTTATCCTTTCCACCAATGCTTTTGCTAGACTCCCTCCAGAACTAAACAGTCACATGGCTTGATCAGGCCTGAGGCCATACATTGAAAGAGTAATTAAAGGATTGTCCTTCTCCACATGTAATCCAACACATGCCTGCAATCCCAGCGTTTCAGAGGCTGAGACAGGAGGATCATAAACTCAAGGCCAGTCCAGGCTGTGTAGTGAAGCGTTAAGAAACCCTAACAAACTATAAACAAATCATTGTGTGTTCAGTGCTTTCTCTAACAAAAGAATGTCTTTCTCCACACTGCAGTACATACTTCTTTAGAAAAGTATGGAATGGGGATCTGTGACCCAGTAAGAGGAATCAAGGAAATTATTTCTTCTTTCTTCTTCTGGGTTACTACATTTATATCTTTGATATTGTCCCATTGTTCTTAGGTTCTTTGTTCTGCTGTGGGTTTCTTTATTTTTACATTCTGTGTGTTTCAGATTGGATAATACTAATTCTATGTTAGGTTCATTAGTTTTTTTCCTTAGCGGATTCAAGCTATTATTTTTTTTAAATGTAGTATTTTCATTTAATTCTTCGCTAAGGAAAGAATTTTTGATATAATTTCTACTGAATGGCCCATCTATTCACACATGTTGTTTACCTTTTCCACTAGATCCTTTAGCGTATTAGTAGTATTATTTTAGAGCCCATGTCTATAGTTTTAACATCTGGGTGATAGCTGAATTTGTTACTGTTGCTTGCTGTTTCATGAACCATACAAGTTTTTGTTGGAAACCAGGCTTTATATGTAAGAATTTGAACACTGAATGAGTAGTATTTGTGCGTAGAAGTAGGTCTGTCTCTTCTTCTGTTGTGTCTTTATTGTTTGGAGTTGTATAAATTTAGTCAGGAGTTCAACTTGACTTGGGTTTTGTCATTGCTGTGGTTGTTCTCAGATCAACAACAGTTTCATATTTCTTGAGAATTCTCTTGGCTTATAGGTTGGTGGGTGAGTTGTCATTTTTAAAATGTGTGTGTATCACTTGTACTGAGGTTTCCCCTGTGACCCTTTGCCCCAGGAGGGTATCTCTCAATGCTCTTTGCTGTTGTTCGTCACTTTGAACCACCTACATCCATGGCAGGGAGCAGGGGGGCCTTCGGTGTTATTCCTAAGCCACTTCTGTCTCAGGAAGGCCCTTTGAATCTGGGCCTCAGGGTGGGGCTCCTCTCCCAGTGGCAGGAGCCCTCTAGTTTGGGCTCAGAGTGGCCTCCTGAGCCTCCTGCAGGAATAGAGCTTATTGTTTGTTTACTTCCCTGAGCAACAGTGGGAATATACTTGTGTACTGGGGAAGGCGGTTTTGTGCCCTTTCTGCAGTGGTATAAGACTTTTGTCTCTCCAGCAGTACAGATCTGTTTGGGGGTTCATATCTCTTATGCTGTGTGTGTGCATGCGTGCGTGCATGCAGCAGGGGTGGCGTCTCTTCTCCTTTTCTTTGTCCAGATCGGGAGGGGGCCTCATTCTCACATCCTGCTGTTCACCAGTGAGAGACTGGAAAGCAGTTGGTGCAAGGCAATGCCCCTGTGGCTCTGCCTCCCAGGGTTTGTATACTTTCATGGTAGCCCACTCTTGGCTGTTTGCAGTTCATCAAAATGGTTAGCTGAGATCCTCTTACTCAGAGGTAGAGCGATCCAGCTTTTATCCTGTGCACTGCCTGGCCAGCTGGTGCTCTCTCCAGTACATCCTAAAGACAATTAGAGGTCTTCCGGAAAGACCTCGTCCTCTAAAGTGTGCTTAATCCTAATACAGGTTTCTTACTATTTTAGGAGAGGGCATAGTAGACATTTCGGTCTGTAGTGATACTTCTGTCAATGGAATAGACAGAACAGGGATAGTTTCCTTGCTTTGCTGCTGCACTTTGACTTACTAAGTTTGGGAAGGAGAGAAGGTCTAAGCAGTGAATACTCAGGAGAAAGATTTTATTTTCATTGTTTTTACCTGTTTCATGATATTAGGGAGGCAAAAGTACCTCTCAGTGTTTTGGAAACATAAACTTTTATTAAATTGAGGCAATTGGATTTTGAAACAATCTTCTTACAGTCTGTGGGCTAAGATAAGTTTAATAGAGATTATTTCATACATATAGAGAAAAATTATACAGATTTTCCTGTATATTTACTATACAACTTAATTATCAAATCATCCTAATGTTCTTTCATCAGCCATTGCTAGCCTTATGAATTATGTGGAAGAGGATTCTAGAGATAAATATATAAACATGGAGATTCTTGTACCAGGCCTTCCGTACTTTAGTTTTAATTGATTGACTTTGGATTCAGAAAGATAGCATTTATATGTGCTGCACTGTTTGCATTCAGATGTATTGCGTGTGTGATGGTGTATTACAGACCCCTTTGATAAGTGTTTCGTAGCTATACTTACTATAAAGGTTCTGGAGGCAAGGGCGTTTCTCCCTGGTATTTGTAGACCTTTCTCTCTCCTTGAAAAGTTGTACTACATTTAATGTATTAGATTTTGATCAGGTATCCCTAGGGAATTGAACTCACACTGATCAATTAATTTTTATATTCCATTTGGATTACTGTTTATACCTATTCAGAGGAGAAGGCAAAATTATTTGACTTTTCTTCTGGTTGTATTTCAAACTGTGTGTGTATAAACAATTCATTGTTTTAACTCCATGTTTATTGTTGTCATTTCATTTGTGTTTTTTTTTTTTCTTTTTGGTATTGGGGTTTAAATCTACCTCACACATGCTAGGCAAGTGCTCTACCACTGAGCTACATCCTCATTCTTTTTTACTTTTTAAATTTTGAGACAGTGTCTTTCAGAGTTGCCCAGGCTGGGCTCGAACTAAGCCTTCTGATTAACTGTGATTACAGGTGTGTACCACTATGCCTGGCTTCATATTATTTTTTTAACTTGTTATTTTAAAATAATATTAGACTTTGTAGGAAAATTACAAAGCTGGGAGAGGGAGTTCCCATATACCCATTACCCATTTTCCTCTACTCTTCACAGCATACATAGCAAAAGTACAATAATCAAAACCATGTAGTGAACAGTGGTTATATATTCTTATTTTAACAGCTGCTGAGATAGTAGAAGAAATTGAAAACATGGAGAAGACCAGGATGCGTCTTGAAGCAAGTAAACTCAATGAAAGTGTATGTCGATGGTCTTTTTCAGTATTTGAATAGAAATGAAGGAAGAAAAACTTAATACTTGACCAAAATTACAGCCAGCTCTTATTAAATCTGTTCAGTAGGAAATTTACTAAGATGCATTTCTATTTGAATATTAAGATTTTTTTTGCAGCTCATTCTTAACACAATATTTAGTCATAATTAGCTGACTTGTAGCACAAAATGCAGTACCCAAGTAGAGTTAGTTCATGAGCCTATGCCTTTGCATCAGGGAGCTTTGACACTTGCCCTTTGTCTGTTGGTTGCTTTTGGTAAATTATTTAATCTGTGGCCCTTAGAGTCTTCTTCTGCAAAACTAAGAGCCTGAGCTGCATGACCCTAAGATTCTTTGTTGCTCTGGCATTCTATATGTCTTTGATTAACTGTAATTAAAGGAGATGTTGAATAATTCTAAAGTTATGAAGATTGAGTACTCTATTGAGTTGTTAAGGGACTCAGAAACCTAAAATTCCTTCACTATTGCTTTCTTCTCACATGATTACCCAAAATTTGAAAAAAGGATTCCAAGGAAAGAAATAGTTGTTTTGTCATATGACACTGCAGGAAGCATTTTGGGCTCTCCAGTGTGTTTGTAAGGAAACTATTACTTTGGGAAGTAAGTATATAACCAGATGATAGAGAAAATGGGATTCCCATTGATTTTATTATTGTCTGTGTGCTAACTGTACGGTCGAGTTTATCATGAATTATATAAGTAGATTACTAGTCTCTTAAGTCTGAGATTTTAAATGGTAGAATTAATTTACCACTTGTATTATTGCATTTTTTTCTTTATGACTTTTCCAATATGACCTGGAGAATTTAGGTGGAAAAGAAAGAGGGCAGGTACATGTGACTTATCATTGGTCACCTAATGTCTTTAAATTCTGGATATTACCTATTACATCCGTGAAAACAGAAAATGAAATATGAAAATAGGAAATCTAATGGATTGTTTTGTTCTCTACATATTATAATGAAATGTTGCATTTTCTACTGATGTGAAAAAACAGGTAAAATGTATACTATTTATAATCTTAGTAAGCATTCCTTGATCTGTAGAAAACAGATAAGGGATTATTATTCTCCATTATGGACATTCACATATGAGATTCCTAAGTTTGTGGTATTAATTTCTGTTTTTGCCATTTTGGGTGGAATTTTAAAGATTTTTCTTGATTATTTTAGGCTATGGTTTTTACAAAGGACCAAACAGAAGAGGAAATAGATGAAATTCACCGTAAATATCGTAAGTTGTACAATGCTTTCTTTACTTATAAAGAACTTGGGTTATTGTTTCACATCTTAATTTTTTAAAAAAATGTTTTATATTCATATTTGATATAAACTTTTATTAATATTACATCAGAGACTGAAGTTTAGTTGAATGTTTACTCAGACACTGACCTATTTTTGTACTATTTTCACCAGCTTTTTGATTTGTGACTAACATGCTTTGAGCTTATCATAAGCATTTTGCAAATATTAATTCTCTGAAAATATCTCCCTGAGAAGATGAGATTAAAATGAGGCATCCCTTATTCCATCTTGTCCTTAGGCCTTCAATAACAATTTTTCTGTAAGAAATTCAGTACTACTGTAGCTTTTGCAAACTTGTACTAAAAGTACTTCTTATCTTATTGTTCTCAAACTCCAGCTTTATCACCTCCTTTTTGTTAAATGGTATATGTAGAGATTTTTTCTAGGGATAACACCTTTCTGGTTTGTCATTTGAGTAGCTGTTATTCTTTTAATTTCCATTGAAGTTCCTGGTGAATGATAGATAGGCAATATATGTTGGTTAAGTAAGTATACTCAGGATGTGTTTTAATTGTGCTTACATGTGCTTATATCCAAATACATGTGTTTTCTTTGTTCTTAAGTTCTGAGGGGCAGAGGCAGCATGCTGTGTGTGGGAGGAGGCAATGGTGCTCATGCAGTAGGTGTTTGGAGACAGCCTGTACCTTGCCAGGGCAGTAGTCCAAGTGGTCACGTGCACTGTGTTCCGGTTGCTAGAAAAAGAAGTATGACAGGAGCCTGTTGATCAGCTGTGGGAAGTCACAGCGATTTTTCTTTACAGCAGAGGTAGACAAGAGATGATCACTGAATTGGCAAAAATAAGGCCTAAACAAATGATGAGATGAGAACATTTTGCACTGAGAAAAAGTAATTTAATTAAAAGGGTATCTTCTAACAGTTATGCCATTACAAACAAAAATTTGGATTACATACAGTCAAAAAATATATACAAGTATTTATTGCACACTGTTTAGCTATCTTAAAAAATACATAGCTTTACTAATTAACATATTTAGTCCTACAGTACACCTCAATGCATACTTTTTAAAAAAACTTTCATAAAGTTTAAATGCTTAGCCTTACAGTTTAACCATACATTTTGATTTAGACTGGCTGGGTGTGGTGATGCACTCTTTTTAATCCCAGCACTCGGGAGGCTAGCTAAGGCAGAAGGAGTACTTTGAATTGGAGGCCAGACTGAACTGCGTAGTGAGATCCTGTCTCAAAAATCATTTTGATTTAGTATAAGGATCCAAATACATGTGCTATTGCTATATCTTATTGTAAATATTTTATTAATGTTTTACATGCATGCAGTTTTTAAAGGGCCACTTATTCCTACAAGGCTTAGTATAAAAAACAGCAGTTACCTTCCTGTTCCACCAATAAGGTAACAACTGTCAACCTTTTTGGCTTTTCTTGTGGTCATCATTTTCCTATTTTTAAAAAAGGATTAGTGATACTGATACTTCCTGTCAACTTTCATTTTTACCTGTAAATATTGACATGCTAATGTGAAAAATATGAACACTTAGCTCTTTCATACATCCTCTTTCCCATCCTCTACATATTATTAGGTCATATTTTATAAGATATATATTTGGTTAGATACATTATTGAACCAGACTATGTGTATGAGATTTATAGATATAGGTAGAATTCCTTTCTGGAAAATACCCTGTTTTTCTTACAATTAATAATTGCCATTCATGATATGTGAGATGGTATATGGAGGGCAAGTGACTTGGGTGGCAACAATAATTTACCAGTAGATGAGGACCTTACTAAGTATGAGTTTATTTAGTCAGGGTAGCTCTCAGCAGGGACAGCCGGAAAGGTTCCAAAGAGCCAGTCAGGTTGAGTGATTGAAGTTTTTATCAGGATTTGAGGATAAGGAAAAAGGGTCTAGGCAGCAGATGTGATTATCTAAAGAATGTCTTTTCCTGGATTATTTAGTATCTTGTAGATATTCTCAGAGCACCTGTATTATGTTAAAGTTATGTTTATAGTTAAAATTTTGACAAGATCATTTGCTGTGGCTCAGAGAAGGCTTTTAGCTATAGACAGGAAGGTCCATACATATCTTTTAGAGACGCTAGGTTAGAACTTACTGGGAGAAATGAATGGGCCTTACATCCAAAGGTCTGTTGCTGTCTTATAATCACCTGCAGAACTCACTTTAACAGAAGTTCAACTTTTAGAGGTTTTAACCCTTTTGTTGCCAGTGGGCAACCACTACAATTCATTTGTTTAGTTTTCTCATTGCCTACTACTAACATATCTTTGAACTTTCCATCCCTTTCTAACACAGTTAAACACATAGATGACGTATTACCTTTATTGGTTGGGAACAGTTTTCTGGAGCTACCTCCAGTCTCTGTTGTCCTGTTCTAGTCTACACTGTTTGCCTAAAGACAGGCCTGCTGCATGACTGCTTTTTACCAACCTGCAGATTCTCCTCTTCTCCCTCCTATTTTGCTTCACTTATTCTATGATCCAAAGCTGCCTCTTCACTTTCCTTATTTTGGTGCAGTACATTTTCTAGGAAACTTCCTGTCAAACTTCCTGTTATGGTTTGCATCTAGATGTCTCTCTCAGGCCTCATAAGATCATAGGCAGGACCTTCAGAAGTTGGTTGTGTTATGGGAGCTTATAGCTGACTTTGTTGGAAAGTACAGTCTGATCAGAAGAGGCAAGTCTCTGTGGGCATGACCTGGAAGGTTAGTTACATCTTTCTTTCTGGTCCCTCTCTTGATACTCTCTGCTTCCTGTCTCCCATCCTGTGAGCAACTCTTTCCTGCCGTGCCTTTCTGCCTTGGGGCCAGCTGACTACAGACTGAAACCTTTACAATCTATGAGCCAAAGTAAACCTCCCCTCCTTTGAATTGTGGGTGTTGGGTATTGTGTCTCAGCAACAAGAAAGTGACTAGACAGATTTTGGCACCAGAGAAATTGGGTCATTGCTTTTACTCTACCTGACCATATGGTTCACAAGCCTTTGTAACTGGCTTGGAGGAGTTCGGAAAGGCTTGGATATACTCTCCAGAGAAGCAACCTTAGAATGCTATAAGCTGGGTTTGATGGGTGATTCTAGTCAGAGGTCAAAAGACCTGAATGCTAATAAAAAAGCAGATAGTAAAGACCAGGCTCGGGCAATTTCAGTTGGAAACAGTGACTTATTTGCATTCGAACTCCAGGCCATGTGTGTTATGCTCTGGCTGAAAATTTGTCTGCATTTTGTTCACGTGCTGAGAGACTCTGGGAAACTGAGATTAAGGGCAGTGGACTAATGAATCTGGTGGAGGGAATTTGAGGGAATCCTAATGTTCAGGTTGTGGCATGGTATTATTGGGTTTTTTTAGGCAGCTTTACATTGAGAATCAAGAACAAGCAGCACAACTGAGTGATTTAAAAAGTTTTCAGTTTGCCACAGAGAAAGGACCAGAGGAGAGCTTGGTTACTGGTAAGATTAGCATTGAAAAGCAGCCAAGTATTTTGGTTTAGGACAATAGGAAAAATGGCTTGAGGGTATCACAGGAACCAGCAAGACCTGCCCTTACCAGGCTCAACATTGCCAACTGAAAGACATTGCTTTGAGAAGAAAACCCCAGTGCATGCTACTCGGAACAAGAGTGGCCATGTTGATTCCCTAAGATTCTGTTTATAGCACTCAGCCATTCAGGTACTTGGAGACCTCTGCAATGATGTTACAAGGGAGCCTAGATATTGCTTAAGCTAGCAGCAGACCTTGGCATTGTCCACATGGTGCTAGTTTTACAGATATGCAGAGTGTGAGGGGTTTGGGGTCAGGGTGGCTTCCACCCAATTTCAAAGAAGGCCTGGAAGGCCTGGCAGTGTGCTGCTGAGAAGGCAGTTTCTAAAGCTGTGAAAGTGAAGCTAAAAGTGCACTGAGACCCTAGAAGTTGAAGAAGCCAGGCTTGTGAATATCTAAGGAAAGCTGCAGGCAATGAATAGAGCTATCTCAAGACAGAAGCCATGACAGCAGTGCTGTAGGAGCAAGACCACCCAAGCCATTTGGAGCTTGTGTCAGATCATAGCTTACCCTGGGTGCTGACACCCAGAGCTATAGGATTTAATGTTTACCCTGCCAGATATGGGTCTTGCTTTGGTCCCATTAGTTTCTATCCCCTGCAACTCCTTTCTGGAATGGGAATGTTTACCCTGTACCATTGTATGTTGACTGTGTTTAAGTCTTTTTGATTTTTACAGGAGTTCACAGCTAGGAGTTTGCTCTGAGTCTTAGAGAAGATTTTAAACTTGAATTTTTCAGCAGTGTTGAAACTGTTAAGACTTTGGTGACTTTTAGACATGACCAATGTATTTTGCATAAAGAAATGCACAAGTCTTTTGGGAACAAGGGGAGCAATGTGATGGTTTATATCTAGATGCCCACTCAATCCTTATGGGATCATAGGTGGGATCTTTGGGCAGTGATTGGATTATAGGTATATTATAGGTACAGCTATAGGTATATATTACAGGTATAGCTATATCTTATAGCTAGTTTAGTGTTAGGAGGTGGGGCCTGGTCAGAAGAGGTGAGTGACCGTAGGTGTGACCCAGGAGGTTATATCTGCCTTCCAGTTCCCTCTTTGGCTCTGTCTGCTTCTTGTCTGCCATGCCATGAGCAGTGTCCCTCTGCCACGCCATCCTGCCTGGTATGCAGCTGACTATGAATGTAAACATGAGCCAAGATAAACTTCTACTTCCTTAAGTTGTGAGTGTTGGTATTTTGTTGTAAAAGTACTAAGACAGAGGGTATATGGAACAATGTTTTTGAGACCATATATAACAGGAAATAATACCTTTATTACTAGCTGATAATTTTGATGAGTATAGAATTTTATATTGGAAAGTTTTTGGGGAGAGGGAGCTGCTGATTTCCAGTATTGTTGTCCTTAACTGGTTTGTCATTGCAATTCTTTGCCT